GTTGTTCAAGTTTCATGCTACCCTTTCTCATGTAGCTCCCTTTACAGCACATCCAATGGACTATCGCCCCAATGCCTTAACTAAAAGAAATGGGCCTATGTCACACTCACCAAGGACACCTGCTGCAGCCTCCAGTCCAATCACACACAATTTTTGCCTCAATCCAAAACACACAACACCTGGAACTCAAACTCATGCTAGCACAACCACCACATTTACCCACTGAGCCATGGCAAGAACTGATTCTGTTAGCTCCCAAAAAACTAGGATCTTGTAAGACATAGAAACCAGGCACTAGACCTACAGCTGGTTGAAAAATGGTTTCTATATCTAATAAGGGCCTCATTTTGGGCAGTGTAGCAAGCTTTTCTGCCAGTTGCTCAACAGGTATGACATCAGCCCTGCTGGTGAAGGGACTGGTCTCTATATATAATATGGTTCTCCTTTTTGGCAAGCCTCATAAGTAGCTTGGACTGTAGCTCAGTAGGTAATAGATAAATACAACCTTCTAGAAAACGCGAGTTCAAGTCCTGGGTTGGCCATGCTAAATTTCAAGGTCAATTTGTTTTGGATTGAACTGGGTGCTTCAAAATAAGTATGTTGCCCTTTTTAAAATGGCACCGTATGAAGATGCATGGTAATGTGTGACCACGTGTTTCATCACACGTGTTAAGCATTAATGACATCACTATTTGTATGCTAAAGGGGTGCTCGTTTTTGTGTATTGGTGGAAAGCACATGCTTTTCTGTAATTTCAATGTATCTGTGCTGGAAGGATTATTAAAAAAAAAAAAAAAAAATGAAGTGCATTAATGTCCTTAATATCCAAATGTATTCTAGCTTTAAAATTTCTCTTTCTCCCCTCCAATAAAATTAAAAGAGAAATTTCAAAGCTAGAAACTAAACAGATCCACAGTGTTATTTTACTGTATTCCACATGGCCTTAATGTGGATTGGGATGTGAATGCCTTTATAGATAATGCTTGAATAGTTTTTCATTTTGTTTCTCCTCTTGAACAATAGGTTTAGTTTTCAATAATTTTTATCCACAATATAACATTTTTTTTTGATTGATATAATTTGTGCTTTGGGGGGACGATTTTTCCACAAAAAAAATTACAAATTTTTACACTGAAATTTCTGTATTTGTATATCGTAATATTTTATTTTGTTTTTATGATGTAATTTTGTTTAATATGGCCATTTCCCTTTTCCCTTTTTTGAGCTGCTTATGTATTTGGAATTAAAACCATTAGTATCCATTTTATGATTGAAATAAATAGGGGTGGTTGGTTTTTGGATTTCCCCCTACTTATATTAAAATATGTAAAATCTCGTTGGTGCCTATAATTAGCTAGTACATCTGAGCTCTGACAATATTATGGTAGTAATTAGAGATGAGTGAATTATTCAAAAATTCGATTCGGCTGATTCGCCGAATTTGCGGGAGAAATTCGATTCGATGCGAATTTATTCGCCGCGAATTTAACTTATTTAAAAGGTTTCTAGGCTTCAGAGAGCCTTTATATTAGTGCAGAACACTGTACCTTTAATTTAAACGCCCTTGGAGTCTGCTGGGGAAGAGAAATAATACTGTCAGTCAGTATGACATGCAGATGAGTGCCGTCGATCTTAGAATCACCGCACACTTCACTCATTTGGGCAGTCATGGGGCACGACGAAGAAGAAGAAGAAGAAGAAGAAGAAGAAGAAGAAGAATGAAGAATGAAAAGAAGAATGAAAGAAGAAGAAAAGAATGAAGAAGAAGAAGAAGAAGAATGAAAGAAGAAGAAGAAGAATGAAGAAGAAGAATGAAAAGAAGAAGAAGAAGAAGAAGAAGAAGAATGAAAAGAAGAAGAAAAGAAGAATGAAGAAAGAAGAAGAAGAAGAATGAAGAAGAAGAAGAAGAAGAAGAAGAAGAAAGAAGAATGAAAGATGAAGAAAAGAAGAATGAAAAGAAGAAGAATGAAAAGAAGAATGAAAAGAAGAAGAAGAAGAAGAATGAAAAGAAGAAGAAGAAGAATGAAAAAGAAGAATGAAAAGAAGAAGAAAAGAATGAAAAGAAGAATGAAAAGAAGAAGAGAATGAAAGAAGAAGAAAAGAATGAAGAATGAAAAGAAGAAGAAAAGAAGAATGAAAAGAAGAAGAAGAATGAAAAGAAGAATGAAGAAGAAGAAGAAGAAGAAGAAAAGAAGAAGAAGAAGAAGAAAAGAATGAAGTAAAGAAGAATGAAAAGAAGAATGAAGAAGAAGAAGAAGAATGAAAAGAAGAATGAAAAGAAGAATGAAAAGAAGAAGAAGAATGAAAAGAAGAAGAAGAAGAATGAAAAGAATGAAAGAAGAAGAAGAAGAATGAAAATAAGAAGAAGAAGAAGAAGAATGAAAAGAAGAATGAATGAAAAGAAGAAGAAGAATGAAGAAGAAGAAGAAGAAATGAAAAAAAGAAGAAGAAGAAGAAAGAATGAAAAGAAGAATGAAAAGAAGAATGTTAAAATGAAGAAGAATGAAAAGAAAGAAGAAGAATGAAAAAAAGAAGAATGCAGAGAAGAATTTTCTGAAAGAAGAAAAAAAGAAGAATAAAAAGAAGAATGAAAAGAAGAAGAATGAAAAGAAATCATGACAACATTTGAAAAGAAGAAGTGAAAAGAAGAAGAATCGAAAGAATGAAAAGAAGAAGAAGAAGAATGAAAAGAAGAAGAAGAAGAATGAAGAAAAGAAGAATGAAAAAAAGAAGAAGAAGAAGAATGAAAAGAAGAAGAAGAAGAATGAAAGAAGAAGAAAAGAAGAATGAAGAAAGAAGAATGAAAAGAAGAAGAAGAAGAAGAATGAAGAAGAAGAAGAATGAAAAGAAGAAGAAGAATGAAAAGAAGAAGAAGAGAATGAAGAATGAAAAGAAAAGAAGAAGAAGAAGAATGAAAAGAAGAAAAGAAGAATGAAAATGAAGAAGAAGAAGAATGAAAAGAAGAAGAAGAAGAATGAGAAAGAAGAATGAAAAGAAGAAGAAGAAGAATGAAAAGAAGAAGAAGAATGAAAAGAAGAAGTATTCCAGTACAGCAAAAAGTGTATCTGCAGAGAGCTCCGCTATTTCTGACAGTTCTCTGACAGTTCCTTCACATTTACAGCGGTTGAAACATTGTATCTATTTATTTCCAAATAAAAACATCTGTATCCTAAATGGAAACAAATAGATACAATGTTTCAACCGCTGTAAATGAACTGTCAGAACTGTCAGAAATAGCGGAGCTCTCTGCAGTGACACTTTTGCCGGCTGATCGGGAAAAATTCGATTCGTGCACCCGAAGTTTGCTAAAATTCGGATTCGATGCGAATCGAATTTTTCCTGAAATTCGAAACGAATTCCACTTCGCCAGGTTCGATTCGCTCATCTCTAGTAGTAATATATTGCAATATTAGCTATAATAATAAACAGAATGCTCAAAGAAGCAAAGTCATATTTATTTACAAAGAAAGTAAAACACGAACAGAGAAATCATAGAGCATATGGAAATAAAAGAGCAGAGATGATACGTTACGTATGTCAGTCCTCAGTGTCTTGTATTCTAGCTGGGCTCAAGGAGAAAGAGGAGGAGGCCATGGTTGACCCTTACATTTATACCACTCACAAACAACACCCATTCAATGCCCTCGACCCGGCCTATATAGTCCTCTGTCCAATGAGTTACTATCCGTAAATTATAAGGGCCTGCCATTTTGAAATCACCAGGAAATAATGTGCTACCCTTAATCCTCCAGGAAGCATGTAATTGTCTCCGCCAGGGAGTACTGCTATATTGTCATGAATCTTCTTGACCCAGGTCAGCATCACAGCCCACATCTGGCCATCTTTGATGTTGTTAGAAGTCAGGAAATCAATCATTTTGATTTTTCACATCACCAGGAGGTCTGGGCTCATGCTTCTTTACCCCCACACATCAGATTGGTGGGGCCTATTGGAAGATGAATTCCCATTTGCGTCCCCTTGTTACAAACACTCTGCTGTGCCAACTGATTTGGTTGGTGTTGGAAGATGTAGGCCAGATGGCCCTTTAAAAACCAGACTGCAAAAATCCATAAAATGTCTGAAGAACAATGTTGCCTTCCAACAATGATCAATTTCAATAATATTGATGCTCAATGTCAGGGCTCCCGGTAAGACTAGAGATGCGTGAACTGACACAGGGAAACACAGGCTCAAGTATGGTGTAACAATATAATTTATTAAAGGTTATACGCAAATATAACGCACAATATAACAAAACCAAACCTCCAACTGATAACGGAATGTACACAGATAAGAGCAGTCAGGGCTGGCGAGGTGGTGTGGTCAGGCGGGCCGGGTCAGGAATCATCGGGCAGACAAGACACAAAGGAGTAGGCAGAGCGTAGTCAGACGGGCCGGGTCAGGAACAATCAGGCAGACAAGGTACCAAAGGAGCAGGCTGGAGAATGGTCAGGAATAGCCGAGGTCAGGACAGGCGGAGGTCATTCAGGGTCAGGATCAAGTAGAATCAGGAATCAGGCAGGAAGCAGACAGGATGCAGGTACAGGGGCTCATGGGAAACATACACCAAGGCACTGACTGCAGGTCTGGCCATTCCTTAAATACACTTCCTGCAATCAGCCTCAGGTGATGGCTGACTGCAGGAGTGAGCTTCTGGTTGCTGAGAGCACCCGCTTGCCAGCCCTGGTACTGCAGCCCACAAGGCAGGTGAGTCCCACCACCATTGGCAAGTCCATTCCTGACAGTACTCCCCCCCTCAAGGAGCGGCCTCAGGACGCTCCAAACAGTCCGTAATGGCCCAAATGTTCCACCACCTGGGTCTGGCAACTGGCTGGACATCCCACTGCCGGAATCAAGTGATTGGCTGGGTCTCCTGCTGATAGGCCTATCTTTTTGCAGGAGACCGCAGGAAGGCAGATTGCTGGACACAGGATTTCCAGAAGCAGGCTGGGCATCAGGAGCCGGTACTTCAGGCTGGGCAGCGGGCGGAGGCACGGTCAGGCTGGGCAGCGGGCAGAGGCACGTCAGGCTGGGCAGTGGGCACCGGCCCATCAGGTGAGGCAGCAGGCACTGAGGCATCAAGCTCGACAGCGGGCACCGAGTCATCTGGCAGAACAGCGGGCACCGAGTCACCAAGCTCGACAGCAGGCACCGAGTCGTCTGGCATGACAGCGGGCACCGGGTCATCTGGCACGACAGCGGGCACCGAGTCATCTGGCATGACAGCGGGCACCGGGCCATCAGGTGAGGCAGCAGGCACCGAGGCATCAGGCTTGACAGCGGGCACCGAGTCATCTGGCAGAACAGCGGGCACTGAGCCACCAAGCTCGACAGCAGGCACCGAGTCAACTGGCATGACAGTGGGCACCGAGTCAACTGGCACGACAGCGGGCACCGAGTCACCAAGCTCGACAGCGGGCACCGAGTCATCTGGCACGACAGCGGGCACCGAGTCATCTGGCACGACAGCGGGCACCGAGTCATCTGGCACGACAGCGGGCACCGAGTCATCTAGCCAGTCCACGGGCACCGAGGCACCGGGCTGGACCACGGGCACCGAGGCACGGGGCCGGGCCACGGGCACCGAGGCACTGGGCCGGACCACGGGCACCGAGGCACCAGGCCGGACCACGGGCACCGAGGCACCAGGCTGGATCGGGTCATCAGGCTGGATCGGGCCATCAGGCTGGGTAGCAGGCACCAGGTCATCAGGCTGGATTGGGTCATCAGGCTGGATCGGGTCATCAGGCTGGATCGGGTCATCAGGCTGGATCACGAACACCGGGTCATCAGGCTGGATCGGGTCATCAGGTTGGATCGGGTCATCGGGCTGGATCACGAACACCAGGTCATCAGGCTGGATCAGGCCATCAGGCTGGATTGGGTCATCAGGCTGGATCGGGTCATCAGGCTGGATAGCGGGCACTAGATCGTCAGGCTGGGTAGGAACATCAGGCCGGGTAGCGTACACTGGGTCATCGGGCATCAGGGTATCAGGCTGAATTGCGGGCGCCGGGGCACCAGGCTGAACCACGGAGGGCAGGTTCTCAGACGGCAGGCTGATCGGTTTGGATACTGGCAGGATGGTACTGGTTGGAAAGAATTTTCGCCTTTTCCTGGTTTTAGTTACTGGAGCACTGTAAGTAAGCGCAGATTTGTAAACGGATAGAGCAGCTGTAGGCAGAGAAGAGCTGGGGGATGGAACAAAGGAGGGAGCAGTTGCTACAGAGGACTTCTTTACAGGGTTAAAGGCAGGATAGGTGCAGCGAGTGGGAGTAGGGGACTGACATGTGGTAGCTAGCAGGGTATACTGGGCTGTCATTGGGGGTGCTGTCGGGAGTGCAGGAAGAAAGCTTTGAGCAGAGGAATGATGAGAAGCAGGACTGGTTTGTTGCAAGCTGACTGAGGCTGGGTGTAACAAGTCTGCCCAGGACTGTAGTATGGGTTGAACACAACTCCGCTTACACATAGCCTGTCTGACCAAAGACTGCACTGCGTCTATACACTCCACTAGCACATGAGATGGACAAGCTGCATAATGCTCAGGGAAGCAATCTGGATCCTCCTCCAACAACCATACCAGCGATTCCACTTGATCTGCACTGAATGGGGGAAAAAAGTCATCCCTGCTTTCAGGGGTACTAGCTGAAGCCAACTCCACACAAGCCTGAATTAATGGTTGCACCTCAGAGAACTCTGTGCCCTGATCTACCAGGGAATGCGTGACCCCTATGCATTCTAGCAGCTGATCCCTGGTATACTCCTGCAGAGTCTCATAGGCATATTCTTTGTCATCAAAGACTAGCAGACACAAGTATATAACCTCCTCCGGATGCATCCTTCACAACAATAAGCCAAGATGGCTTCCCTGTGCAGCCACTTCTGGTCAGGAATGGCCTTGGTGTAATGTCAGGGCTCCCGGTAAGACCAGAGATGCGTGAACTGACACAGGGAAACGCAGGCTGAAGTATGGTGTAACAATATAATTTATTAAAGGTTATACACAAATATAATGCACAATATAACAAAACCAAACCTCCAACTGATAACGGAATGTACACAGATAAGAGCAGTCAGGGCTGGCGAGGTGGAGTGGTCAGGTGGGCCGGGTCAGGAATCGTTGGGCAGACAAGACACAAAGGAGTAGGCAGAGCATAGTCAGATGGGCCGGGTCAGGAACAATCAGGCAGACAAGGTACCAAAGGAGCAGGCTGGAGAATGGTCAGGAATAGCCGAGGTCAGGACAGGCGGAGGTCATTCAGGGTCAGGATCAAGCAGAATCAGGAATCAGGCAGGAAGCAGACAGGATGCAGATACAGGGGCTCATGGGAAACATACACCAAGGCACTGACTGCAGGTCTGGCCATTCCTTAAATACACTTCCTGCAATCAGCCTCAGGTGATGGCTGACTGCAGGAGTGAACTTCTGGTTGCTGAGAGCACCCGCTGGCCAGCCCTGGTACTGCAGCCCACAAGGCAGGTGAGTCCCACCACCATTGACAAGTCCATTCCTGACACTCGGTTATGGTCAACGGAATATAAATTGCAACGACACAGCATGACGCTATGCCCCTGATGTCATGTATTATGAAATGCATAGGGAGGAGCTGCGTGCTGACATCATGTTCCCAGAAGTGTGGGTGGCATGCTGTAGTTTTACATTGCGCAATTTTTAAACTTGATAATGTAAATGTAATTTAACTTTTGTATTTCAATGGTTTTTATTAACTTTTGTAAACAATTTAACAAGAAGGATTATAACAAAAGACACGCCCATCCAGGGGCTATCAATGGTACATAAAAATAAAGAAATCAGTATTGTAACTCCAACAATGCAAGAGGCGCACCCACGTAGGGGCTATCAATGGCACATAAAATACAGAAACCGTGATATAACACCACCAAAAATTTCCAGCCAAAGGCAAATATCTAGCAAACACAAATGCTCCTGCGCTTGGGGATGGACTCGATGCAGGCTACAACCACATTAAGAATATCCTGGAACATGCACACCTTGCTGCCCTCAAATGGACCGGGGGAATCCAAATATACTGAATGAGGAAAGAACAAAGAGATGGCGCACAGGCCTAGTGCATTACCATCAAAAATGTTTAATAACAGTAACAGTCCGCAATGGGGAGTTTAGACATCCAATAGACTGACGCGTTTCTGAGAAAGAGGCAAGTCCTCGCAACGCATCAGCCTATTGGATGTCTACACTCCCCATTGCGGACTGTTACTCAGCGCGGTGTTGACCCAGCTGTTCTTTTATGATGTGCCTTGACTTTATTCTCGTTTGTGAGTACAACACCTATTTTATTTCTTATTAAACATTTTTTATGGTAACTAGGCCTGAGCGCCCTCTCTTTGTTCTTTCCTCATTCAAAGGCAAATATCTATCGCGTCACGTAATCAAACAAAAAAGAAAGAGGAAAAAAAAAAAGAAAAGAAGGAAGAAGAAAGCAAGACCAGAAGCAGAGATCTGGGAACGCATTTACCATACAGCGTCATAAACCCAGACTAGCCGGGGGGAGCATGGAAAAAGCATATGTCCCATACTTTCAAAAATGTTTGTGACATCAAGCCACTAGTCATGTCACATCATATCACATCAAGCCAGGGTGACATCAAGCCACTAGAATAGCATACCGAATCCCACACTCGTGGGCCGTCAAGCAAAATGGGACTCGATGTGCTCGGGCGTTGGGCCAGGGGGAGCCATAAAAGCGTCCACATTGCAATGGGGGCACAGTTAGGCAGTTCCAAAAGGACCCAGGGAGGAAAGTCAGAGGAAGCGTGCAACATAGACAGGGGGGCAATCTGGCTCACCTGGTAATACTTCGCTACATTAGGCACCCCAAGACCTCCCTTCAGTCTATGGGTAAAAAGTGTGTTTCTGGAGACTCTGGGGCGTCTGTCAGCCCAGATAAATTGCATAATCCTCACCTGAAGTAACCAGAGAAAATGAGAAGGAACCCACACTGGGAGGGTGAGAAAATAATACAACAATTTTAGGCAGCATAGTCATTTTCACCGAATTAACCCGTCCAATCCAGGACAGTTGTGGGAATTGCCAAAACTGCATAAGGAAGGACACAGAATGAAGCAATGGAAAATAATTTGCAGTAAACAAAGAGCCATAAGTGGGGGTCAGACGAATGCCCAAGTATTCCAGGGAAGAGGAAGCCCATTTGTAAGGGAAGTGGGATTGTAGACGTGAAACTAAATCTGAGGCCAAAAGTGATATTGAGAGCAACAGTCTTGTCCAAACTAAATCTGAGGCCAAAAGTGATATTGAGAGCAACAGTCTTGTCCAAATTAATAAAGAGACCTGAAATCAATGAGAAACGCGTAAGGACCCGTTGTAAGTTTGGGAGAGTCATCAAAGGATTAGTGAGAGTCAAGAGGGCATCGTCTGCAAAAAGGTTAAACTTAAATTCCTATCCAGTGTAAGCGACACCTGGATGCCAAAGCCAGTGGCTCAAGCGCCAGGACAAAGAGCGCCGGAGAAAAGGGACATCCCTCGCCAAATGGGAAAGGGATCTGAGAAATACCCCCCATACTTATACCCCCCATACAGAAGCTGAGGGGAGAGAATACAAGGCCTAGATCCAAAAAAGGATAGAATCCCAAAGCCCCAACGGGACCGCACAAAACACAGATATTCCCAGGATAGGGAATCAAAAGCTTTGTATATATCTAAAGAGAATAGAAATCCTGGAATTTTGCGCTGTTGTACAAAGGTGTATAAGATAAACAACTTTACAAAAATTTTTACCCGCCTGCCTCCCAGGAACAAATCCCAGTTGCTCCCTGTGGACCAGACTCTGCAAATATTTATTGATACAAGTAATGTTAACTTTTAATAAACAATGTGAAAAGACTTTACACTATTGGAGCGTTTGTTCCTATATTTCCATAAGAGCATTGATGGAATGGTGACATGCGGAATAACGCCATAGGAATACACGTTTCCCTTGGAGAATATTCATATCTGTGTTGAGATCCCCATTACATTCGGTATCTATGAGCCTTTTGTGAACTGTGTTTAAGTAGAAGGTCATTTGTAGCTGCTAAGCTTGCATTTTTACCATTGAGATGGCGGTCTTCTGATCTCATAAGGTGTAGCAGAAGAATAAGGTGAAGCAATAAATGTTAGACTCCTAATTGCACCCAATTAAAACAATGAAGATCTCACTGTGAATGGAAAAGCAACATAAAATAGGTGAATGACTATTATTAAATGTCGAAGCAGCATATTAGGCAATGCTAAATGTGTGTGTGTGTGTGCGTGTGCGTCTGTGTAGAAGCAATTGACAGGTGAATGTGAGAACCTCCTGCACTCCTACCTATAACCTAAAATCACTATGGCTAATAAAGCTACCAACATCCAATCATATACCTAATGATCTATGAGCAAATATCAAAAAAATTATGTAGCGCTAATAACAGAACTACATGAATGAAAACGCACATATAAAGTGAAAACACATATGTCAAAACTTCTGTGAACACAATTAATAAATAAAAATTCAAAACAATAAGAAATATATGTGACATATAACAAAGTATATATTGTGATAATATTTAATATGCACAGCCTATAAGCTGTGAAATCCAAATACACAGCATGATCTCTCAATGACCAAGAATAAGTGAAGAAGAATGACGTGAAAAACCAATAAGTGAAGAAGAAAGTGAACCCAATCACACAAATGTGTGTGTGGATTGATCCTAATGGGATCTGTAAATTATGTAAATATTCAGAATAGGCCAAATGAGGCTAGTGCATAACTGTGCTCAAAAATGATCC